AAAAAATGGAACACAGTGTACGCCACAAAAACAATAACCAGTAAACAACTGTTTACGCAATTCGAAAAACTACCAGGAACCCTGTAAAACTGAGTGACCTGCGATTGGTCACTGAATTATAAAAAGTGCCTCGGTTTTAACCCAGGCAGTGTATATTCAGTGAAATATCGGTAGATATTTCACTTTTTTTAGTAAAAACAGGTTGTAGCAGAGAGTACGTTAAAATTCAAACCGCGCGCGGGGTACGTACCGTAATGTCCCACACCTCATAAAGCCTTCTTTTAACAGCGCCAGTGTGGACGCCGAGACAACCTCGTTAGGAAGTCCATTCCAGGCATTGACCACTCTATGAGAGAAGTAGTTTGCCCTTTCTCTCTTTACTGCACGGGGTATGACCAGCTTTAGCTGGTGTCCTCTTAGGGCTGGGTTTTTACTGAGGGAGAAGAGTTGTCTGCTAGGCTGTGAGAGTTCCTTCAGTATCTTAAAAACCTCCATTAGGTCGCCTCTCTTTCGTCTATGAGGTAGGGAGAACAAGTTTAGCTCTCTCACGCGCCTCGGGTACGACATCGTTCTTAGGGTAGGAAAAAGCCTAGTAAATCGTCTCTGAACGAGCTCTCGAGTCTTTTGGTCGAGTACGAGGTTCGGTGCCCATGTCTGTACGCAGTACTCGAGGTGTGGGAGCACCAAGGCCTTGTGGAGGGGCAATAAGACTGCAGGGTCCCTCGATGCTACTGTTCTTCTCAGCAAGAACAGCGCCATAGAAGCCTTTGCTGAGGCTAGCTGGCACTGTCTGGTCTGCTGGAAGGAACCATGCATGACGATAAATAGGTCCCTGACCCCGTCAGGGAAGAGGGAAGGGAACGGGTCAGGTCAGTTCAGTTCAGTTCAGTTCAGTTCAGGACGAATATGGCCCTTGCCAATCGAGCGTCCAGTTCGTTGTGTTGTTGGCGGATGGGAGTAGCTTCCAACACTGCGTACGGTTCATTGAGTATTTGTGATCCTCACACTTGAACCCCGTATACCGAACGTTGTCTCCTTGGAGGTATGCTGAAAGAGAGGAAAACAAGCAAGGATATCTCCTCGCCTCATTGGTTGGAGACCTTAAGTACACATGCGTTAGTATACACAGCTTACATGTGACAGGATAGTCAGGTTTTTAGAATGATCTCAACACTCAAGCTCAAGTTTATATCATTTTACAACTTCTGGATAAAGTAAAATTTACTTTTAATGTTCAAAGTCATGTACTAACTTCGGCGAACATGCGTCCAGGGCCACCTTGAGGGTGTTACATTGGCGTAGTTAACCACTTCTGCGGGTAACCTGTTCCACATAGCTATGACCTTGTAGTGACCATGATTATACGAAGAAAAGGAGCAATCCACGAGGACGTTTTCCGTTCATATTTTCTTCACAATCAACTCTGACTCGAACTGTGATATTTCCTTGTTTTACTTCTGTTTGTTTTACCGAGCACGGTTTTCCGCTCAGGCGTATATACAAGCTGGGTCCTGTTCAAACCCACGCTGCACGTGTGACACGCTTTCGCTTTGCTACTGCATTTATTGCTTGCATTGTTTAGCGTCACCTTGGCACGTTTCGGTGCTACCTAGTACCACGATTCGCCAATAAACGTTTACGATTCCCACGAGTGTCTTTGTCTACCTCGGGCAACGAGACACTAGGAGGTCGCGCGAATATTGAGACTCGTAAGAAGACTTACCGGCAGGCCGTCAACTCCGGTTAGCTTCAAACCTGTTTGCGAAGAAGTTGGACCGTACTTCTAGCCTGGTGTGGTTTTGTTGAAGTTTATAGCATGACCTCTCGTGTTTTGAGCACCAGAAATCGTAAACAAGTCATCTAGGTTGAGTTCCGATAGATCTCTTACAATTTTAAAAGTCTCTATCAGTTCTCTTCTCATTCGTCTACGCTCCAGCGAAAAGAGATTTAGATCTCGTAACCGCTGCTCATAGCTTTTCCCCTTTTGCCCAGTCACCATTAGGGTGGCTAGGCGTTGTACTCGCTCTAAGCACGTTACATCACTCCTGTAATACGGTGCCCATGCCTGTACACAATATTCCATGTGTGGGCGCACAATCGATTTATACATTGGGATGAAAACCTCAGGCCTTCTGCATGTCATTGTGGCACACAACCTGAACAGTTTCCCCCTAGCTTGATTAGCAGCCTTGGCACACTGAGTGGAGGGTTTAAAGTCTTGGGTCATAAGAACCCCGAGATCTTTCATCTGCGGGACCTGCTGCATGGGAGCCCCATTTAACGAGTATGTCCCATCCCTCGTTGCTAGGAGCCGGCACTTGCTTAGATTCAACAGTAAGTCCCACTTGACCGGCCAACGATGGACCACCTCTATGTCCCTTTGTAAGTCTAACCCTATCATTTTTACATCATCAGCAAACATGAAACACGGATTTTGCAGATCCTGTGCAAGATCGTTGATGAATATGAGAAACAGTAGGAGGCCTAGCACTGAGCCTTGAGGTCAGGCTGGTTCGGTTTGGTTCGGTTCGGTGCCAAGGACTGTGAGGGCAGCTTGCCAGATTGTCCAGTTTCTTGCACTGGTGAGCTCCAAGGATCTTCCGGTGCTGCGACAATAGGATGAAAATGTTCATCTTCAGTGGTATACACGTCGAGGGGCGACTAGAAGAGGACATGCAGCCACAGCACCCCTTTCCGTGGGTGTTTGTGCAGTGGTGTGTGGCATACTGGCCTCACGGATGGGAGAGTCACACCAAGAACCTTGAAGCCCGTAAGGATGAACAGTCTAAGTTAAGAGGGACATAGGGAGATTTTTGTTAGAGAGGGGAAGAGAGGAAGTGGAAATGGGGGTTAAGAGGGCCATTGTGATGGAGAGAGGGGGGAGGGAGACGGGCTTCTGGCGCCTGACACGTTTACTCTCCACCGACGAACAAGCTACCCCATAAGATATCCAAACAGTGTTTGAATTCAGCCACTGAGGTGGCTGCTATGGCTTCCCTTGGCAGTTTGTTCCAGTCATTCACGACTCTAACTAGAAAGGATGTGGCCCTCCGTCGACAATTTACTCTATCCGTTGCCAGTTTAAGTGCGTGTCCTCGGAGTGAGGTGGTTTCACTTAGCTTTAGAAGCTCCTGGGAACCACCTCTTATATGTGTGACCTCTTTAAGGATCTATAAGATCGCCTCGACGCCTCCGCCTTTCCAATAAGAAGAGGTTCAGCACCTCCAGCCTCCCCTCTTACGGTATCTCTCTTATCCCGCCAAACTACCTCGTGAAGGACCTTTGAGCCATCTCCAGAGCTTTGGCATCTCTGACCAAGAACGGGCTCCACGTCTGAACACAATATTCGAGGTGTGGCCGTGCAAACGCTTTATAGAGTGGTAAGAGAACCTCCGGCCTCCGTGACCCTATTGCAGGTCAGAGCTGATGTATAGCTCCAGTTGCTTTCTTCACAGCACCCCGGTACACAGAACTGGTGGTGGCCACAGGCCAATCACGCGTCCAGAATTCCTTCGGTGTGCTCACGAGTGTGCGTCCGCCTCTGTAATTGATCGGTTTCTCTTTCTATCTGCAAACAGAGTGAAAGAGATACTTTACTTCTCGCCGTGTCGGCGAGAGACTTTTGTTGTGAAAGCTTTCCATATTACACAAAAACAATTAATGTACCTAACATTTTATGTCAGGGAAGACCTCCAACCATCCGGCGTCCAGGGCTCTTTTAAAGGCTTGGACGTTTGGCTGCACAATCAGTTCTGACGGTAGCTTATTCCAATTTTCCACTACCCTACTTCCAAAGGAATGTGCTCTTAAGTTCAGCCTAGAACGATGTTTCAGAAGTTTGAGCTCATGTGCACGCGTTCCTTGGTTGGGAGCCTCAGTGAAGAAGGACCCAGGATCTAAACCCAGCAAATTTTTTCCAAATCTTAAATACTTCGATGAGATCCCCGCGCAATCTCCTTTTTCCTGGCGAAAAAAGACCTAGCGCGTACAACCTTTCTTTGTATGTTTTACCCCGCATGCCCTCAACCATCCTTGTTGCTAGTCTCTAGGCCTTCTCCAGACAGGCTGCATCCTTTTTGTAGAAGGGCGACCAAGCCTGAACACAGTATTCTAGGTGAGGCCTTACGATGGCTTTGAAGATGGGTACAAATACATCTGCTTTCCTACACGAAACTGCTGACCTTAGTCAAAACAGCTGTCGTCTTGCCATGTGTGCTGCAGCTTCACATAGGGTACTCCAACTGTAACTTGCAGTTACGATGACTCCTAGATCCTTGGCACTGGTTACAGCGCCCATTTCGAATTGCCCCCAGTCCCTGAGAGCCTTTAAGGGTTCCCCGGTTCTAGAGAGTAACTGACTCTTTGTTGCANTTGCATTTAATGGCAGATCCCATGAGTGGGAACACTTGACCACCTTTGCAATATCCTCTTTTAAGTCGGCTCTTCCACTAGTTCCAACCACCTTTACATCATCAGCGAAGATGAGGCAAGGTGAGCTGGTAATTTCTGCTAGATCATTTATGAACAACAGAAATAGAAGCGGACGTGACACCGACCCTTGAGCACCCCACTTGTGACATTAAGGACTTGGAAAGCTTGTTCTCTTACCCTAACCCAGAATGTCCTATTGGTCAAGAATGTTTCTATCCATTGAAATATTGTTCCTGTGATTCCGAAAAAACTTAGCTTATGTAGAAGCAGTCTATGACTTACGGAATCGAACGCCTAACTGAAAGCTAGGTTACATAGTTCTACTGTTTTGCCGTCGTCTACCCTCTCTGTGACTTCGTCTAGGTAGCATAAGAGATTTATCAGGTACGACCGGTTTTTCATAAAGCCATGCTGGGCCATGCCAAGTAATGCATGCTCTACAAGGTGGATATAGACATGCGTCCTAATTAGCTTTTCCATGCACTTGCATAGAATACTAATTAAGCTAACCGGTCTGTAGTGCTGTGGGTTAGATCTACACCACCTTTGTGTAACGCCACCACAACGGCAGTTTTCCAGTCGCCCGGACGCACCCCCTCCTCCATTTATTTTTGAAACAACACC